ATTTATCTAATCAAATTAATTCATGATAAAAACAGTTCGTACATGTCATTTACTACTTGTTTCAATGATTGACTTTTTTCTGGAACTTATGAGTAATAGAAAATCTGACAATTATTAAACTTCTATAAATAATTCTTATATTTAACACATACATGACCTTAATAAAATACAATCAATTGTTAACATTTATTTTGAAAATATAATTATAAAGACGACGTGATCATATGTCGAATCTAGAACATTTACATTGATGAAAGAAAAAAACTTCAATGAGCAGTTATAATCCGTGTAAATATTTCTGGTGTAAACGAATTTAATAAGAAGAATTAAAATAAAAAAAAGTGAACTGAACATAGATGTCACTATCAAACTAGAATACGAATAATTTGCTTAAGCAAAAGAAATAAAAAATCGGATGTGTATTTCTTTCTATTTTTATAAACTAGATTCAAAAAATCATTTGAAAATATTTTCATATTTACCGGTAATATCTTATGTTGCTAAGTAACATAACCTAACAAGTAAAAGTAAATGGTTTGATTCAATTGATGTTGTATCACTTAAGTTTTTTCGATTAGAAGAAGGTTAACCTTCGAAAATCATGGCCCATATCCTTATTGATTGGCTCAATAATGATGTTCAGCTATCAAAAAAGATTGGTAAAAATCGTTTCATGTCTTTAATTTGAAATCAAATGTTTTTTCTATGATTAGAATCAAGTCAAAATTTAGCTGGTGAATTTGCAACAGGTTATCTTGTTGGTGAAATTCTTTCTAAATATGGTTTACAAGAAGATTTTCCTCAATTTAGTACAAGCAAGTTAGTAAAAATCTTCATTTTGTTTGAAATAAATTTAGAATTAATTTATTCATAGCAATTCTATATCACAATTAAATAATTTTACAAGAATTGAACGAACACTTCATTTACTTGGTATACCATTTAATACAAATCATGCACGTCAAATAATGACTATGGAAAAAGGTGCTGTACAACAATTATTATATCAACTTTATACAGCTTTAAATCGTAAAAAGAAACGAAATTTAACTGGTACAGCAATGGAAACTATGACAGCACCAGCAACAAAAATTTTAGCACAAGCAGAAACACAACAATATCAAAATGTTTGTTTAATTTTAAAATTAGATTTAGTGTTTTTCATCTATATATATATTTTCTGTGTAGTTAATTAAAAAAAGAACAGAACGAGGATGTGATCTTAGTTTACAGGAACTTGTTAATAAACATGAACAATTCAAAGCTCGACAAGATGAAATTATTAATAAACAAAAGTAAAATAAAACTAACCGAATTTAAGAAAAAAATTATTTTATTGAATAGATATGAAGATGATGAAGGAAAAAGACAAGAACTTGAATCAAAACGACAATATCTACTCAATCGTTCGAAAGAAAAACGAGCTAAAGATGCTGAATTAGAAGCTAGAATTAAGTAAGATATTGATTTACCTTCCCTTTTTCTCTATTCTAACTCCGCATGTATATATATATATGCAAATAAGTTTTTTTTTTGTTTTGCTAAATCAATATTTTCGAATGAGAATTTCATTAGATCAAAACAACAAGATCTTGGTTATGAGCTCGAAATTGAGCCAATGCCGTAAGTTATATCGTACATTCTTATAATGCATGTTTCTTCCCAATTGTAATTTATTATGATTATCGATATTATATATCCTATATGCTTTGCATGCTATTCTATGTATATTTTTATCTATAAATTTATATGAAATAAATAATAAGAATATTTTATTTTTCTATTTTATTAGAGCCAGTGTAGTTATGATACCAAAAACTCCACCACTATTTACTAAACAAGCATTGGAAAAGAAACGAAAATTAAAGAAAGAAGTCGAATCGCAGGTTTGATTTGAAATATTTCTTTTTATAAAATTAAATTTTCATACATAGGATACAATGAATGATATTCGTCGATTTGAAAGACGTGTTTTACAACATTCAGAATTTGATGATGATGAAGGTTTTGATGAAAATCCACCAGGGTATGAAGAATAAATAGATTTAATCATATTTTTTAACAGAATAAATAAACTGACTTCAACATATTGAAGCGACAATGTAAAAGTTAACGAAATGATTTTTGATGTGTTTCTCAGATTTTGATTGAGTCAACTGTTTTCCTCTTAATATGGATAAAAGTTTATTTTAACCAACGATTCTTTAATACACATTGGATACATTTTTCAGACAGCCAATTTTTTAAGAGAATAAATTGTTATACATTATGTTTAGAGAGTCGATGAATGTTTCGGATATGGAATTATCATCACCTTATGAACAAGAAGCTTTAAGTAGTAAAATTGGTGCAACATCTTCGCAGGAATTAGTTGCTTATACAAAACCATTACAAGCCGGTCAAGTTGATCCATATATACTTGAAATTCGACGTCGTCTTCAAGAAGATATTCATGCAAGACGTGAACGAGAAAAACGTCGTCGAAAAGTTTTAGTTGATCAACTTCGTGCACTTGAAGCTATTGAAGTAAGTGTACATATTTATCTAGTTAAATCTTATTTTTTTTTGTACGTTTGAAAAAAAAGGATTCGAAACGTGAAGAATCACTTGTTAGTCATTTACTTCGTCAGTCTCAATTTGAACGTCGTCTTGCTGTTGAATTATTACAAACTCGACATGAAAAAGATGTTTTACGTCATAATCGTATTTCACATGAGAAAGAACTTGAAATTCGTCGAAAACAAGATTTTATTGAAGCGATGGATCGTGAAGCGGTATAGAGAAATATTTTATCATTTTTTTTCCTTTCTATTAAAACTGAAATTATTTTAGGAATTAGCACGATTAACTCGATTAGAATATGCTGAACAAATACGAAAAGATAAAGAATTACATGATATTATTCAAGCTGAAAAAGCTGAAGCTATACATACAGATAATGTTGATTTTTGCATACATATTACTTGGCAAATGGTTGATTTTGCCTTAAAAATAGGAGAATATCGGCAATTAACTGAAAAGTAATTGATTTAATTTTTGATTTAATAGATATTAGAAATATTTCTTTGTTTATAGTTTAATACCAGCTAAAGTATGGCGTGAATGGAATGCATTATTTGTTAGTGATCGACCATTTTTTGATGATGAAAAACGTATTACAGCAGAAGAACAAGCTGAAATCGATCAACAAAATCAAAAACTTCATGCTCAAACAGTTTTACAAGAAGAAAGTTTGAAAATTTTAGATGAAGGTGATTTTAATGAATATCGAAATATGATTGGTGAATGGGAACCACCAGCAGGTAGTCAAAGTGCAATAACAATTACACATGTACCACCTATGGATAATCCTATTTTTGGTTATGTTATTAATCGTTTACATAATAATATACATCCACCAGCTGTAAATTTTATTTTCTATTTAATAATATATATGATTTATTATTATAGGCAAAACTTCCAGCACCATTATTTCCAGCATTTGGTCTTAAAATTATTGTTCTTGGAAAATCGTTTGCGGGAAAATCATCGGCACTTAAACGATATAGTGACGGTAAGTATAAGTTAATGAACTAGGCACAAACAATATCATAATTCATATGGTTATCCCCTAATTTGTTGTCGAAAATATTCTTCTTCTCAGAAAAAATCCTTCAAATAATAAAGATAAAATGCTGAAAGACTTTCAAATTAATTAGACTATCTTGAAAGTGGGTGTAAGATGAAAGTGAAGCCCCCATCAGTGACGGATATAGGATTTTTAGGGTAAAGGCGCGATTTCGATCAAAAACCGTATTTCCACCCCATTTGGCATATTATCCACTGATTTTCGGACCATTTTTATTATTTTTGTGAAATAATAATCTCATTGGTTTTTTAGAAACTGGTGTAACAATTGTTAACATTGAACAATTATTTCATGAAGCTGTAGAAGCATTTAATAACAATGAAATGGATGATGAAGAAGTTAGTCTTTATATATATATAGAAATAATTAAATAAGAATATTTATAATTGTAGGCTGATAATGATATTGAAATGGATAATTCTACAAGAATTGATCATGATAATGTACCTATTTCTCATGAAAAGCCATCGGGTGATCATCTAGGTAAATTTTGTTTTTATTTATTTTTTTATATTAAAAATTAATCTAGGTAAAAATCTAACATATTATATAAATATTGAAAATGACGATATTTTTGATCTATTCAAAAAATCAGAAGATAATACTAATCTTTCATCATGTTTACAATCATTTGCTACTAATTATCATAGATTTAATACGAATACTAATTCAAAAAAAAAGAGAAAAAAGAAAAAATCTAATAAAATCAAGAAGAAAACGAAATTAAAACAAACACATAAATTATTTTATACTTCATCAAATACATCTTTCTCAGGTTTTTCTTTTTCTCTAAAATTTATCAAACGCTAATTTTGCTGATTTAAATTTAAAATCGATTTTTCTTTTTCTATAATTTATATTCTTTTTATATTATTAAGGTACAACAAATACTCTTGAATATCCACCAGCACCTGCTCCTACACTTGATAATCTTACAGATACTACCAATACTGAAGTATCAAATAATACGAAAAATAAAATGGATAAAGTATGTCAAATGAATTGAAATATAAAAAAAAATAAATTCAATTATTGTTAATCTATAGCTTAGTGATCGTGCTAAACTTGGTTCAATTATTCATCAATCAATAAAACTTGGTGAATCATTAAGTGATCGTATGGCTGTAGAATTAATTGTTGAACGTCTTCGGTAAGAAATTAAGAATACAAAATTTATTTGATTTAATCAAAAATCTTTAGACGAATTCCCGATGGTGAAGGTTGGATTATTGATGGATTTCCAACAACATATGATCAACTTAAATTACTTGAAAATGCTCTAGCAAATTATGAAGAAGAACAACCAAAAGGATTCAATCCACTTTTAGCACCTAATCCACGTCCACCACCACCCACCGACCCATATAAATCAATTATTGATCTTGTTGTTCTTTTTCATGTTTCAAATGAAATTGTTATTCGACGTGCAGCTGGACGTTCATGTATAAACAAAAATAATATATCGGATTAATTTCTATATTTATAAAAATTTCTTTTTTTAGTTGCTCCATTAGCTAATCAAGAATTTCATGAACAATATAATCCACCACCAGGTGGTTCAGCAACAGGATTTAATGGACAAGAACAAGTATTTCCAACAAAAGATGCTGCTAATGATATGGAACAATTACAACATCGTATAACACAATTTCAAGAATCATATCCACGTATAGAAAAATTTTATGCACAAAAATCTAAAGTAGCAGTTGTTGATGAAACAAAAGCTGATACACCGTTAGATGAAGAACAATTATATCATGAATTTTCTCGAGCAATTGAAACACATATTAATGAAGAAGAAGACAAAATACGAAAAGCAGAAGAAGATAAACAAAGATCTGAACAAGAACGTTTAATTCGAGAACAAGAAGATGAAGAAGCTAAACGACGTACTGCAGAAGAAGAAGCAGTTAAAGCACAACAAGCAGCAGAAACTGTAAATATTAATCTTAAGATTTTATATTCTAGTTTTTTTTTGTGTTATAGGCGGCTGCTGCAGCTGCTGAACGTGCTGCTCGAGAAGCTGCTGAAGCTGGTATGTCATTTTTAACTAAATTAAATCTTACTAATTTGTATATATGCTTTTATTAATCATAAACTTCGTTTTTTAGACAGTGATAGTTATATCTATTCAAAATCATTAAATAATCTAAAGAAAAAAAATCGTCATAGAAAAATAAATTCTGTTCATTTGAATAGATCTTCTAGAAGTGATGAATTATTTATAGTTTTCGTTTATTTTTGCATCTTAATTGTTATTTTATAAATATTTGTTGTACTTTTATTTAAATTCGTATTTTATCTCTTGTAGAAGCAGCTGCTAAGAAAGGTAAAAAAGGTGCTAAAAAAGCTCAATCACCAGGTGCTAGTGCTGGAAAGAAAGGAAAAGCTGGCAAAAAAGGTATGTTGTATTTATCTAAAGAATAAATTTTCTCATTTTGACATCTATTGCAGGAGAAGAACCACCACCAGTTGTTGAAGCAGCACCACCTGAACCTCAAGGACCTCCACCACCAAAACCTGGTTCAGAAGAATGGATGTATATTCAAGAACCTATTGATCCAGTAAGACTTACAACAAAAATTAAAAGAAAAAATACCATGATATTGTTTTTTAGGAAATTGCTGCGATCCTTTCAAATTATTATGATGCAGTCGAAGTTAATTATATAGATGCATGTAAAATTGTATTTCGTAATGTTCGTTTTGAACGTTCTTATTTAATCGATCATTTTTACAATGTCAAAGTTAGTTTTAAAGTTTTTCTTAATCGACCTGATTCAAAACAAGAATATGTTGATGTTTTCGTCAAAGTAATTTACTTTATTTTTTGTACATGAAAAATAATAATAATAACATCTTTTCTTTACGTAATAGGATTTTAATGCGTTACCAGAAAATGCTCGTGATGATGATGAATTTAAACAAGAACTTCATCAACGAGTAGAAGATTTAAGTGATACTTTACATGATATAGCAACACAACGTAAAGATGAAGCAGAAAAAGAACGTGATACAATTATGAATGATGGATGGGTTCCTGATCATTTAGGTCTTTTAACAAATCATTATATAACATTAATGCAAGTAAGACTTCTATTATCTATTTTTTATTTCTTCATATAGCAAAAATTAATTTAGAATGAAATTGATCGATATCAAGATGCATTACGTATGCTTCGTGATTACTATAAATCAATGCAACAACCTATTCCAGATGAAATGAAACAAGAATATGCTCGATTACCATTATTTGAATTAATGGAAGCTGGTGAACGTCCAGCATCTGTTGCTGAAAGTCTTGTTGATTTTGATCAATCAAAAATAAATGCTACTCCAGGTGCTAGTACTGATGACTCAGCTGCACAAGGTGATGCAGGTAAAAAAGGCAAACGAGCTTCATCAGCAGCTAAAAATAGTAAACGAACACCGACACCACCGAAATCTCCAAAAGGTGGAAAGAAACCAGCTGGTAAAAAAGATAAAGAAGGTCAACCATCGATTGAAACAACTGTTCAAGAACCTAGTCAAGAACCGACACCGAAAAATATCAAACCTAAGTAAATAAAAATTTAATATTATATTGAATTATTCATCTGTTTGATAAAGATTACCATTAGTACCTCGTCGACCACTAACAGCTTTTGAACCACCCGAGACAAAGAAACGCCCAAATCAAGCGGCAGCAGCTAAAAAAAAGTTAGAAGAAGCTAAAGATGGTGAACCATCACCTGCACCTCCAGAAGATATTGACGAACGACTTGTCTTTGATGCACATCGTTTAGCTAATCAATATGTTAATGAAATGGTTTGTTTTTGTCTTTTTATCTTTAAAATTAATCTTATCAATTTTTTTGTAAATATTTATTTATAGCAAACCAGTGAACAAGCTAGTATTGATATAGATCCAATAGCAAATGCCGCTGCAGCCGCCGCTGCTGCAGCTGCAGCTGCTGCTGCTAGTAAGGATGCTAAAGGTGGCAAAGGTGCTAAAGGTGGTAAAGATGCCAAAGGTGGTAAAGGTTCAGCTGGAAAAAGTGGTAAAAAAGGAAAAAAAACAGAAGAAGCACCTGTAGAACGTATGTATTAAATATGATTATATTATTTTAGAAATAAAACAAACTATCGATTTGGATCTTTATGTTTAGATGTCGTAGAATTAACACCAGAAGAAAAGGCTAAAAAAGAATTAAAAGCTAAAATGAAAGAAGAATTTTTAACTGCTCTTGGTCATGAAGGTAATAATTTATTTTCAATTTAGAATATGACTATATCTTTTTTTCTAATAGTCCGAATTTGTCAAGCACGTTTAATACTTATTCGTGATGTTGCATCTCGAGCTATTATTAGTTTAAAAAGTAAAGCTGATGATACATATACACGTATGTATGAATGGCTTGGAGAAAAATATAAACAAGAAACTGAAAGTATTGAAAATATGGCGAAAATAATTCGATATGCAATTGAATCAAAAGAAAAAATTGAACAACAACTTGTTCTCGATAGATATTCATTTTATATTGCTGAGGTAAATAGATCAATTAGTTTTTTTAAAAAGGAAATTATAATAAATCAATCGAAAAATTAGGATGTTGTTGTTGCTCCTCCACCAGTACCACCACCTCGACCATCGCCTTTAGAACAAGTAATGGGTGAACAATTTACTATTGATCAATTAAAAGATCTTTTCAAACAAGTAAATTAAAAGTTTATTTAAAATAAATATTAATAAAATTAAAAAAACAATTTCTAGTTTTTATTAACTGCACCAAGTGGTCTTCTTTCAACGAAAACATTTATTGATTTATATTCAGATCTGATTTCAGTTACTGTCGGACAACGACCTTTACCTGAAGCATGGACTGGTTTAGATCAAATACAAGTATATCTATGAAATTATTTTATGTAATAAAATCATTCTGGAATTTTGTTTTCAGATTGAATCGTTAGCAACAATGCTTTCAAATGGTGCTGAATTTATTAATTGGCGTTTATGGTTATTATTTGCTTCTCAACCATGGCCTCATCCTTCGCAACAAGATTTACTTAATCTTCTCTATACATATGCTGAACATGATACTGATCAATCAGGTTTCATATCTCGTTCAATTTATAATGAAGTATATTCAAATCATTTCTATTCTTCATGAATAACAAATATATTGTATTTTGTTTTTCTCTTAGATTCCATTATGGTTTTCAATAGAACGTCCACCTACACCTGAAGATCCATCTCAACCACGTCCTTATGAACGTGAACATCATTTGAAACAATTTTGGTTTGATTTATTTGCAATTGATGATCGTGGAACATTATTACCATATGAAGATATGCTCTTGTATTTGGCTGCTGTACCTAATCCATTACATGGTTTCTGTCGAGCATTAGCATTAGCTGAACGAACACCAATGCCTACATTAAAAGAACAATTACCACATCTTAATATGCATTGTAGTACATTGAATACACAAGAATATGAACGATTATTAGAAAAAGAACGAGAACAAGCTCAAGAAAATGAAATTGAAACACCAGATGATGCTTTAATTTCAGTTGATGGATTATATCAGGTAAGTCTATTTATACATATAGATAGCTTTTGCTATTGAGCTGTCTTAGGTTTTACATCATGGTGAACGTAAATTTGGTGATACACATCGATTTGCTACTACTGAAGATCCAGAAGACTTCTCTTCAAAAGTAAAATTTATTTATTTATTTATTTTCTTTGTTTAATATTTATATATTATTTTAGGAAAGACTTTATGCTGTTTGGGATGAAATGGAATTAGATCGTTCTTCGAAAATCCTTCTAACTGCATTACTTAATCATCCAGTTGTTGCAGATATGATTGCTAATTGTTGCAAATATCGAGCACCTGTAAGAATTATTTTTTGATAAAAAAACATTTCATTTTTTAATAATTTTTCGCCCGATAGGATTTCAAACAAATACTTCATGCGAAACAAACCGATGAATTATCTGGTGCTGATTCACATGGTCATCGAACTCCAGATCAAGTATCTAGTTAATTGATAAATAATTTAATTTCGTCTGAAATTATAGAAAAAGACTATATTTTTCTTCGTATATACTATCATTTTTTGAAAAGACAAAATTGAATATTTCACGATATTTTCTGTAATATTACGTCGAATGATAAATGTATGTTGTTTGAAATGCACACTTAACTAAAAATAAATATTTATACTGATAACTTTCCATATTTAAACACTATATGCAGATATAACCGACTATATTTTGAGTTTCCGAACAGCAGTAAGTCCTATATTTATACCTCACTTATATATCAACACGGACAGCCTCATCATTTTATAGAATCTTTTCATGATCAAAAGTTTATTTATTCTTTTCGGCTTTGTATTAGTAGAACATAGTAGGCTAGAATAGAAATAAAATATCTTAATCTACTAGTTCAACTATAAGCAACAAACAAAAAAAAAAACACACGAGTACAATAATGATAGAAAAAACAACATGGCATCTTTCAATAAGTATATAGACTGATGTCTTCAACATAAAATAACGAATCAACATAAAAACAAACAACAAGAACCTTTTCAAAAAAGAATGAATAAAGATACTATATTTTATGTTTTCTCTCTTTTTTTTTGTTTATAAATAGAATAATTTATCTGCTAATTGTTCGTGTGGTTGAGTATGTAAACTTTGAGCAGCAAGAAAAGCCAATTTATGAGCATATTGACATACACTAGGTACACGAATTGTACCGGGCCAACTAAACAATAATAATGATATAAAATTATTTCAGAAAACAAAATATCAATTTACTTGTAATACAAATGACATAATTTATGTGTTAATCGTTGCATATGATCAACTTTTAATCTAGAAAAACAAAAATTTATTACAAAGAATCATTTTAGTGATTTTGTACTAACCCAGTTCGATCCCAAATGACATTGAAATGAGTTGGAGCAACAGTACCTTGACGAGCCATTTGTGAAATCAAATAGAAATCATACCATTCTATTAAATTAAATTAAATCAAATAATTCAACTATAAAATAATTTCAAATATTATACCTTGATTAGTAATTGTATGATCGATAATAGTACCGGGTGGTGGATTCATCAATTGACGACCACCACGTGGATCACGAGCAAAAAATCGTGCACTTCCACGTTTTTTAACAACAATCATACCTAATTTTGGACTAAATAGAATATAAAGATTAAGAAATTTCTTTGATATTTAAAAAACAAAACTTACTCATAACCTTCTTGTGCTTTCATACAAAGTTCATTCAATGCTGGTAATTCATTTTCAATAACATCAAGTAATTGAAAATCATTAACACCATCTCGATAAATAATTATTTTAGCTGGTAAAGCACCATTAACTTGATGATATTTTTGAAGTGCATCTATATATACATATATATTTAGATAATTATCGAATGAAAATAATCTATATTTTACCTTGCATGCATGATTTTAATCCTGTAACAAGATCTTTGCTACTTCGTTGTTCAATAACACGTGAATAATAACGTGTACATGTTGGATTTATTGATGCAACAAAACCAACCATTTGAGATGATCGTGATTGAGAATCACGATATGTATCAATACCAATGATCATTAATGTTTTTGACTATAAATTACAATAAAATGAATCTATTATTAAAGTTTACGAAAAGAAAAAGAATATCAAACCGGAATTTGTACAGCCCATATTTCACCACCTAATTTTGCATTGATTTGAATACCAACTTTTGTTGCAACCGACATTAATTGACCTGGTTTTTGTAATGTTTTTGATAAAAGCATCTAAATAATCAAAATCTTTCTACTTATAAAAAAAAGAAAAATATTTTACTTGAGATGGTACAGGACAATCAACACATAAAACTTTTTTAATAGCATCATAACGATCTTTTCGATTATTCGTTAAAATACAACAAACTAAATCCATTTGTGGATGAGCTTTATTTTCAATAGCACGAATAAATGTTTCCGAACGATCATTTGGTAATTCAATCATTTCAGGAAAATCAACACGCATACCTATAAATTCAAAAATAATTAAAAGAAAGCTATGTCGCACAATCCCTATAGGATTAAAATGTGAAACACAAAATATTTACTGTAACATCAGTGAATACGAATACAAAGTGACACTGGCAAAATTCAGGAATGGGCTAACTCGGATGCCGCGCGAGCATCGGGAGATAAAATAAGCTAATGATTATCACCCTGTCGAGTATTGTGCATCTGTGGCGTGAGGGCGTAGTGCAAATCTCTATCCCTAACACTCCTTTTAGTTCGTGTTTTAGAGAAATACAAGACTAACCGAATGGTGTGCAAACTTTGTAAAGTGCATCAACAAATTGATGTGCAACTTGAGAATCACGTTGATAAAAAATGACAATCCATTTATCAAGATGTTTAGCTGAAAGATGTGCCAATGAACGACCATCACGAGACCAATCAGCTTCTAATGGATTATATTTAATTGTACGCTAGAATAAAAAAATTAATAAATAATTTTTTCTTTTATATTAAAATAAGTTTCTACATCTTTATAAATAATTGATTCAGCTTCCATTGTACGACCAGTGAGTTCAACAAGTCCTTGATCCAGACTAATATTCCATTTATTTAATTCTTTACGTCCTTCTTCACGTCCTTGAATATCATTAAGAAATCCATTTAATTGTTGAAATCGTTCATTAGGTCCAACATGTGTATATTGACTCATTTCTTTCATTAATGAAAAATCAGATCTCATTGAATCAGAAATACCTATAGATTAAAACAAAGAATAAAATATCTATCAAAAAAGAAACAAGTCTAATTTTACCAGTAACACAACATAATTCTGGAATTAAAAATATCATTCCTGGATCATCTTTCTTTGGACCACGTTTAGCAACTCGTTTGCTTGCTTTTACAGTAATTAATGGTTGTTGTTCATCTTTTATTTTAATATGATATTTCTTAAATAAAAAAATAATAATAATAAAATTCTAATTCTATACAATTTATATCATTACTTCTTCATAATATTGAGCAAGAGTTTGTTGTGTACCATCACGTTTAGTAAATTGATAAGTTGGATCTTTATCCCAAGCAACATCAAGAATTCTGTATGTTTCATTGTTGTATCTAAAGAATATCAAGAATATTATCGATGATATTAAAAAGAAAAAGAAAAACAAACGGTGTTAAAACAATTTGTCCAACAAGTTCTTTTATCGATGCATCTTGAGCTTGTTTTGCATCACTCATACGTTGAAATTTATCCATTAAAATCGAATAAACTGTTTGTTTATTCATAACTTTTGTTGATAAATCAACATTTATCATTAATTGACCTTCATAAACATTAACAGCAGTCATAAAACCAGGAAAAAGTGTTAATTTATATCGATCAAGTTCGATTTTTTTATCAAATGAATAATAATTTCGACCAAGTAATTTTAAACCAGAAATTTCAAGTAATCTAATCAGATAGACATAAAAATAAATAGTAAAAATATTTACTCATTCTTACTTTCGAACAATTAAATTAGCTAAATGAAAGAATTCTGGTGATTCAGGTGATGCTGTTGCTGTACGTTTCATTTTGATTGTTACCAATTCATCTGTAACTGGATGTTTACCAGAAACTACATGTTCCTGAAATTATATATTCAAAATTTATATAATCGAAAAAAAATAAAATAAATACAGCTCCAAAATCTTCAAATGAATAAAGAAGTGTTCCATCAAAAGCTACATCTTTAATACCAGCATTTGCTAATGTTTCACGACGAATTTTTCGTATTTCAATCTAAAAATACATATATAATTATATTTAGTTTTCATATGAAAAAAACACTTTACCTCAGGTTCGAATGAACAATGATATCGATATAAATCCCATTTAGGTGCAGCCAAAATTTTAATATAATTAGCAACAAGAGCAATTTCTTGTCCAGTTTCACCTTTTTTAGAACTGAGTTCAGTTGGCCGAGTTTTTGGAAATTTTGAAGTTGTTGGATAACGATCATTATCATCAGTTGCCATCGATAGAGTATCCAATTGTGAAGTCATTTCTGATATTGTCTAAATAGGAAAAGAATTAAATTAATAAATAATTAAACTGGAATTATTTTACTGATGGTGTTGGACTTATAACACCTGTTACAATACTACTGCCTTCACCAGAAAGTAAATCTATGAATATAATTAAAATTTAAGAGAATTTAATTATAGAAAAAAAAACAAGCTTACCTTGATCACGTGCTAATGTCGGTCGATTAAGTCGACCACGGGATCTTGCACATCCACGTAAATACATTGTATCTAAATCATTAATTAAACTATTTCAGTAGTTATTAATGGCGCATAACTTACTTAAATGTTAGTTAAAATGAAATATATGCGTGTTAACTTGAGGTATACAATAAATGTAAATGAATGAAAAAATCTCGAATTTTCTCTTTCGATATGCGTACAAAACGAGCTATTCTAGCTATTTATTTAAATATATCCATGCTTTTTCGTTTCCTTTTGTTTATCTATATTTTGTATAGAAACGTCCGTCTCTATAAGTAAGAATAAATAAAAAGTACACTTACTGATCTCGCTTTTCTAATCTCTAACAAATATACATGAAATATACTTACAAAAGAATTACACTTTAAAACACTATAAAATAATTTATAAATTACTCAAATCAATCTATTAAATCTTTATTTTAATTTTCAAATGATGTCAACATTTTTATCGTTGTATATCAGATATTATCATGAAATTCATTCATAGTACGAAATTATGTAAAGTATTTTATATGTAATTCATTAATCTTTAGTGTTTGATAAACATTTATTTGTATTATTATTTCAAATCTCACATGTAATATGACTATATCATCTTCCAATCAAGCACGTCCGTAAAAAATATTTTTGGGGGAAGGGAGGAGAGATTAACCACTTTGCAGGACAGTCCATCACAGAAAAAGACTATTCCAAATTTCTGAAAATTGTTTGCCCTGTATCCCCTTCCAGGTATTTTAAATTTTTTTGGGGCGAGGGATCGATCCTTCCAATAGTTGCTTACTATGAAATAGAGACAACATAACTTGAATTTTTTCTTCATATCTTTTCAATACGAGTATCAACAATAGTAATAACTACATTATTTATAATCTATAGAATGTTATATTTGTTGATCATATCGAGCTTTCGTTTTTTCTCAAAAGCTAAATTTGAATAATAAGTATTTAGTATATATATATATTCAATTAAGAACAGCATAAACACATTTTATTTATTGACGTTGAGATACTATTTATAGTAATCAGTTTTACTTCTTATTAATTTCAATTCTTAAAATATATATGCACTTAATATTCACCGAGAGTTCATTTCTTTATATATTAATTAATGTAATTTTTGACAGTTTTGAAAGATTATTATATCCTGATATACAAAAATAAATAATTATCGATAATTAGGGCACATAAAATTCTTATAAATTAATTCTGATATATATATATATACTGCATAATCTCGAAGTCTTTCATATTATTTTTGCAAGTATTCAAATGAAGTTTTGAGCACGAAACTAAAATTCATCAAAGGAAATAAAACATTTATTTTCTTTCTTCTTTTTATTTTATTTAACAAAACAATGGCAATGAACAGTTATGTTCTTATTTGATGTTATCAATTGTTTTGTATATTTATTCATTGTCAACATTAGCTGTGAGTAATCCTAAATGAATAAAAAAAAAAGGATTAAGAAATTTCGAAAAAATATTAAAATATAAATATAAACCTTTAAATGAAGGTACTCGAACATATGTTACCAATGTATAAAGTTTATGTGGTGAATCTTCATCTTCATTACGTTGACGAGCTAAACGAACTCGTACACGATATGGAACATGACTAAATAGAGGGATGAATTGATTTATTAATAAAATAAATAAATAAACTAACTTGATTCCTTGTGACCAAATTTCCTTATTTAATTTCGAGTCAATACGAACATCAGGTGTTTTCATCATTTTTTCAGCGAATTTTTTTAATTCTTTAACTGCACGTGGTGCACGTTTTTTGAATGCTCTATAAGAATATAATTAGCAATATTAAAACAAAAAAGATTTTAAATAAAAACATACACTCCATGTAATCGTTTATGTAAATTAACGGAATATTCTCGTGTAACAACTTCATTTGTAATTTGTTTTTTGTTACTACCGCTTTCGCCTTTTTTACCTTTGGTATTGGCCATTGGAAAAGATCAGATGTTTTAAATCTAGAAATAATTTAATCCCACCGAAAGAAAAATATTGTCTTTTAAAAATTCACTTTGCTTTTTTTCTTCTTTTGTTTAAAGACAAATAATTAATCAAAGAGATAAATAGACAGAAAAAGCAAACATAACAAGAGAAAATGACAAACAAATAATTCGATCGATCAGGCTTAGTAAAAAGGATTTAGTAATAATAAATATACATCGAAGTGGACAAGAAAGAAAGAAAGAAAGAAAGATAATTTTATATATAATTTAGAGGATGAAAGGAAATGATTATTATTTATCTATTGTTGCTATTTTCATTCAATAAGTAATTACGATCATTGGTCATGGAATTCATTGTTGTATCAACTGGTAAAAGTATATCGGTACTAAATTAAAAAAAAAAGTTCATTTAATTATATGTTCTATTCAACAAACATGACTACTATTCTATTTGAAAGTATCAATAGGGGCGTACCGGGATGTCGAGGGCGTTACGTCTTACGCGTCCCCGAGTATCAAGATATATATCGTGGTGTGACTAGAAAAACCTGGGTGATTAAGCGCCATCCTAAAAACTTCGAAAGTTATTTATAGTGGTTGGGTGCGACACGACCTTGATAACACCACTTTGTATACAGAAATAGATATTTGCATTTTTCTTCTCTCTTTGCTATAAATATAGGAGACTTCATTGATTCATTCTGTATCCTATTTATATTTAAAATCGAATCTAATTGGATTAGTATTAAGATAGCTTATAAAAATATATTAGATTTAATTGAAAGTAATAAGAATATGATTTATGAATCCGGCTTTCAAGTTATAATATTCGCATTCAATTAACTGTATTTCATTCATAATTTGAATTTTTCGATTCATACCTAACATTATTGAATTGTTGCTGCTGTTGTTGTAATCCACCAAGTAATGTACTATTTATTTGATAATGAACTCCATCGCCTCGTCTATTTAATTATAATTTTAAAAACGAAAAAAAAATAAAAATTTCTTCTTACGTTGTTGAAATTGGTATAAAAGCTCTAAGTAAATCTTTTCCGAATATTTCTTGAAAATTTTGTTTCCAACCTAGATTAAATCCTTCTTTCTGTGGTCCATCAGCAAACATTGGTGCACGGAATGATTCTAATCAAATTAAAAATATGAAGAACAACGGAAAAAAGAAGTTATTTTCTTACCAAGTGTAGTTCGATTTTTTCCCGTTAAATATAAATGATAAAAGAATAATGAAGATACACTAATAGCGAACATCACTGATGCAAAAAAAAGAAAAAGTAAATGAAATCTTCCACCTGGTGTTGTTGAATTATTCATATCCTAAATTAAAATGAAATAAATAATTTTGTTTTTCCTTTTCTTTGTTTGTCTTAGTTCATATAAAGTATACCTTTTGGACGTTAGTAACACCCTATACCCATAAAAAAAAACAAGCAGTTAGCAAACTAGCAAGCAAATTAAAAAAATTCTAAAACAAAATTTACCTGCCAAAATAAAATAAAATATTCCAATGATGTTGCAGCAACATAACTACAAAATATTAAGGCCCAGCCAAGAAATAAAACAAAAAATTTATAATTTCCATAAGATATACAACTATTTGTCCTGTAGAACAAAAATAAAATGTAGTAAATATTTTTATTTTTTTGAAATATTTACCATGGACAATGATGATCATATCTAAGAACACATTTTCCACATACAGAACAATGATGAGCTCGATCTGGTTTTATACATTGACATGAAAAACAATAACGTAAACCTTAAATTATATATATATATGAAATAAATATTTTTTGTTTATTAGTATAATTTACTTCCGTCGAAATGTCGAGTTAATACAGGTAAATTTGACCGACGACAAAGACGAATAAGTGTTGAACGTCGTTCATCCAATGTTTGTGCTGTTGCTATACGTTCACCTTCTGCTTCGCCAACATAAAACTTAAAAAATCAGGAAATATAAATAATATATAAATGTTTTTTTGTATGAATTAATTTACTTCGCTAGGTGGTCCAGCCAAAGGTTTAAACATCGTTCGATAATAAGACCATAAGAAAAGAAATAATAATGGATGATAAATAAGTAGATAGATAACTAAAGAAAAACAAATAAATAAATACATTTGCAAACTAGCAAAATTATCTTATCGGAAATCAGTCGAGATTGATTTCCAATCATACCGGATATCAAACTAGATTTCCGGACCGTTCCCGGAAACTGTTAAAAGCTTTGTGAAAATTAACAAATACATTTCCTAACCTTGGAAATCTTACGGGTCTTTTTATATGATGAATCAATACAGAGAGATCTAAAGTTTATACTTCATTTCTTTCCTATTCAAACTGGATAATGATGATAATCAAGTTATACTTCAATTCCACTACTAACTCAAAACTGTCTGATTATTCTTTAATAGTATTAAACACTTCAGACACCAAGATTTTCGATTCAATTAATATTCTAACTCTTCTGTATATATATATAGAAATATATGAATTCATTTTTCCTAGTCTTTTATTTACCTTTTTTTGGAACACTATCAATAGTTACTATAAAACAAAAAAAAAACACAAAGATTTAGTTAAAAATTTTCTAATATAAAAATTTCAACTTACAAAAACACATTTGTATAACATATGCATAATAAGACCATGCCACAATACCAAGAATAAAAACTACCGGAATACTTTTCAATGTTTCAAAGCAACACGTACGAGATGACCGTAGACTCATTGAAAAACCTATTCACAAAAAGAAAATATTCAAATATTCATGTTTGCTTAATTTCGCATGATTGATTATGTGAATAAAAAAATAAAACTACACACACGAGTAAGATTAATAGAAGGGGATAAGAACTATTGAAAAAGGATAAATAGATATATTGCAACACTTACGGAATAGTTTCATTCTCGAAATGAACAGAGAATAAAATGATTGCAAATCTTCTTGCCGCTGCTCCCTTACCACTGGAGTTTCAGTTGACTAACAGAGGAAATATCGATTCTCTATCTCATAGACACAAATAAATGAAATTTATTTTATTAACTTACTTGTTGATCTGTTGGAAGAAGAGGTTCTAAATCAATATCTTCATTCTAAACAAAAAAAAGAAGGAAACAATTCATTTCTTTTATCACATATGGTTTTTTTTCTATTCTATTACATCTCGATGTAATTTAGTTAGAATGTCGTTTGAAGAAGAACGGTTAGTCATGAAGTGTTAGTGCCATTGACAGAAAAGAGGAAATCAGTTCGCAAATATAAATAATGTAATCTAAAAATAAAATAAACTCCAATTGAAATATTATCTTTGATAAAAATTCTAATGAACATATGTCCATGTATGCAATAGTAACGATAAGAATACCTAGGATAAACAATATTTTCTTGGATTTTTGCTTGATTTTACCCTATGTAAATTTAAAATTGAAGTTTAATTATAAATAATTAAATAAATAAAATATGATATAGATGATAAAAAGTGAAGAATGAAAAAAATTAAAGATTTAAATCGAAGAAAAAAATGAATTTAAAATGCTAATCTAATATAGATGTCATTAGTAACAACTACAATTGAATTGGTTCTTATAAATTATAAAATATATTTATAATAGACATTGAACAAAATATATGGGAATTAAATTTTCATTCATGTTAATCTTTTATAAACTATGAAAAAACAACATTGTATGATTTTGATGTATCTAAAACATGTTGAAAAAGTTATTTTAAGAATTCCTTCATCTTATAGTCAAAATGCTTATTTCCGTAAGATAATTAAATGAAAGATGTGGTGTAGAAAAATGAGTTTTTTTTTAGAATACTTATCTTTTCAAGTACACACACGCACAGTGTAGTAAGTAGTACTCGTAGAATTAAAGAAGTAATATATAAAAGTCGTTGATTCAGGTGTAAAAATAATGAGTTCTACAGACAAACATCATCTTCTTTCTTATTGTCACCTACATAAAGTAAAAGTAATTACTACACTTGCATGTTATCAAACTGTCTCTCTCTGGAAATGAACGTTTGTCTTATGAGATACATCAAACATTCATTTTTTTTCTAGAATATCTGTAAACTTAATCATGCGTTGATGATTCACCTATGAAAAAAAACTAGATATTTACATTATCTATTTATAAAGCATGTGAGATGTTTCATGCAGACACGCGAGGCCTCAACGGATGAACAGTTTTAGTTATAAGACACGTCTTATCTGGTCGAGGCAACTTTCCATTGACGAACGTCATATGAGTACACAACAACAGTTACTACTATGAAAATAGATTATTAATAATATAAATAGAATATAAATTTCATAAAAAAAAGTAATTACACGCAATATTTTCTTGTAAAAAAAATATCTTAACTGGTGTAGATATGTACCTAGAGATATTTTATTCTTAGTAAGAATGCAAATCAACATGAATTCTTATAAAACATCTTATATATGCTGTGTCATACATCATTATGCAACATGCCGATGAAAAATTAATTTAATATATAGAAATGTAATGGACAATACTTTTCATCCCTATAGAAATATAATTTATTGTTTCAACTAAGTAATGAACCCAATTGAATAAATAATAACATCAGTGTCAATAATCAATATTTAATTTAAGTTTATCATGTCTTATACATAGGAATTATACTTAAAGCATTTTATATCAGTAAAAAAGTTTTTAGACAAAAATGTCACGTTCAATATGTTCAAGTATAAAATCTATTCATATATCTGCGTGTACACTCTGATACTGACTGCCCTCTTTCTATAGCAGAGGTTAAATATGTCACATTTATACAATGGTGATATATATATGTATATGTATAACTTTTATTTAATGACAAATCAATTCAACATATAATAATGATTAATAATTTAACAGCAACAGTTAGTAATGATTCGGAAACATTGAATAATATTTGTCAACGTTGTTCATCATCTATAAAACAAGTAGAAGATGATGATGTATGTCCAATTTGTTTTGAACAATGGACTATTTCTGGTCAACATCGAGTTGTTTCTACTTATTGTGGACATTTATTTGGAAAAATGTAAAATAATATATATATACCATTATTTGTCAATACATTAAGCTATATTAAATTTAGATGTATTGAAAAATGGCTTCGTACAACACCGAATTGTCCTCAATGTCAATCAAGAGCAAAACGACGAGATTTACGTCGAATTTATTGTCGAACAATTCAAGCTGTAGATACAAGTGAAAGAGATAATGCTATAAGAGAACGAGATTTCGAAAGAAAAACAAGACGAAAACTTGAATATGAAAAAGCTGAACAACAATTAGCTTATGATACACTCAGAGAACAATTTAAACATTTACAAATAGAAAATGATCGTCTATTAAAGTATGCGGATGTATATTTAATATTCTGATAAATGAGACCAATGTTTATATCTAATAGATTAACCCAACGTATGAATAATATCGAAACAACGACAAATGAATCTTTACGACTATTACCAAACGGACCTGCTCCCATACCTTCGATCAATATTCAATTAGAAACAGTTATTAAAATACCAGAAGTATACATATATATTTCTTAGAAAATTGACTTTTTAGATGAATGATTTTTGTTTTAGGGACTATGCCGTGTTCTTGCCTATGTTCCATCACATCAATGGTTATTTATTAGTCAACCAAAAAATAATGCTTTACATCGTGATTACGGAATTAAAAAAGTATAAACTAAATCGAAAATCTTTCAAATATATTTTGAAAATTAGATCAATCTAGTTAATAATATTCATACATCAGAATACATATCATTACATCATACAAAACCTATTCGTGATATTCAATTACATGGTGATTTCATACTTTCTTGTAGTTGGGATAAAACACTTCGTATATACAATTATATAGAAAATACTTCTAATCTTGTGTAAGTTATTTTTTGTTTCCATTGAAATATATAATTTTATAAATCTCTGATAATAATTAGATGTGAATGTACAGCACAAGTATGGAGTTGTGCATGGAATCTTGATGATCCAAATATAATTTATGCTGGATTGAATAATGGTCAAATTCAAGTATTTGATAGACGACAAGTTTATCAAAATGAAACATTAAGTTTATCAAGTACATCACCAATTCTTTGTCTTGAATATATAACAAAAAATTCGAATTTTAATTCAAGTGGTTTACTTGTTGGAAGTAATGATAAAAGTGGATTTTATCAATATATATCAAATAGTGAACATCATTTTTATGAATTACCACTTAATAGTAACTAAATTTTTTTTGTTAATTTAAAGAAAAATTGAATATTTTAATAAATAGAAAATCTATTTGGTCTTCATTATAATTCAACAACAAATCATTTACTAGCTTCATTTCGTCCACAATCAAATCCAACACGTTATGAATTATATAAATTAATAATAAAATCTGATCCATCATTTAATATTTCTTTGCAATTAATTCAAACATTTATAGGATCAAGTATAAATTTGATTTTATCACGATCAAAAATTCTTGATAAAAATTTTCAAATTTATATTATTACTTCAGATAATGGATCACATGGTGTAAGCTTTTCTTTAGTTGTTTGTTTTTTTTAATATTTCTTTTTTCTTGACAGATCGAATTATGGAATATTCGTCAATCAATAGATAAACCTTCGTTTAAACTATCTACTCAATGTGATATTATTGATATATGTTTAACACAAGAATATTTATGTTTATTAGCTGATAATCAAATTCGATTGTATAAATGGACATAATTTTTTCATTTTCAATTTAAATAAATATGTATTAGTTATGAATAATTCGAATTTTTTCGATCAATAACGAATGATTTTGAGTAAAATGTAGGGTACCTTGATTTACGTTTTAAAATTCATCGTATTTTATCGATTAAAATAGAAAAAGAAAAAGAAAAAGACGCATTTTTAAAATCACGTGTATTCAATGCGTAGAAATATTTTGTTTTTTTGTGAGTTTGTATTTATAAGAAATCTAAAAGCTTTTATTTCTCCTCCGATATAGTTGATTACTTACGAAAAATTTCACCATTCACTACACTTCGTTGAATAATTATTACCATAGAAGGAGTCATTTTATCTTTCATGATGACTCACATGTTGACGTGGCTCACCTTACTTCTTTTTATTTTCCTTTCAAATGACGAAACTCACTCCTTTATAAAGCAATAACATACAACTCATTTTTTATTGAAGATTGGTTTATTTTTTAGATCGTATAGAATAGATTTTAAAAAAATAATGGTTGGACATAAAGTAAAATTACAGTCTAACGATGGTGATACGTTTGATGTTGAAGTTGATATTGCTAAACAATCAGTAACAATAAAGACAATGTTAGAAGGTAAAATAATTGATTTTGTTTTTAAGAAAGAAATAAAACATAATTAATTGTTAATTTTAAAGATCTTGGTATGGAAGAAGAAGAAGTTATTCCATTACCAAATGTTAATTCAGCTATTTTAAAAAAAGTAAAAACATATTTTTCGAAGGATTTTATTTGAAATCAATGATTTTTACTAGGTTATTCAATGGGCAACTCATCATAAAGATGACCCACCTCCACCAGAAGATGAAGAAAACCGTGAGAAGAACACAAATGATATATCAACATGGGATCTAGATTTTCTTAAAGTTGACCAAGGAACACTTTTTGAACTGATTTTGGTTTGTTAAATCGTACAAAAGAAAAACAACGATTATATTTTATTATTTTTTTGTTTTTTCAGGCTGCCAATTATTTAGATATTAAAGGTTTACTCGATGTA